CAAAGGCTAACCGGTTTTGGATTCCTCAAGAAAGTTCACCTGCCTTGGCTTAGGCAACCTGGCGGTATTCGGCCCACACGTGGGTCATGGAAGGTTTTTCTTTTCCATAAAGATTAATGTATCATGATTTATTTTGCACACAGTCTAGATTCAGACGTGTGTGAAAATGTAAATATAATTATACAATATCCCACAAACCAACTTTGGTTTAGACAGCTTGGCTGGGGCCTGGCTATATGCTGTAGATTATGTAGTTTTGCGCTCCAAGTTCCGGGCCGACACATCGCGGTATGAAGATGGTTATTTTGTTTATTTCATTTGTCCTTTAATTATACAGTGTCCACTGCCCGCCTGAACCACAACCTTCTGCATCATGGGCATGCTATTCCTCGATGTATGTCAGTTTTTGGTTCTGCATTATTCCGTATCGTCACCGATACTTTACCGGAGTCCAGTACTTTCACACGGCAATCAAGAAAATCTGGGGAGTTGTCAGTCTTTTCCACCGTGAACTTGATTTGGCTGTGAAAGTCATTTACAAATTGTGTGAATGGTTAAACATGCGCTTAATTTATGACTACACACAGGAAAGACACACATACGGGACGATACCTCAACTTTCACTCTGGCCACTCGACCAACATCAAGATGTCTGTGGGACTTAGCCTAATTACTAGAGCTCGGAAACTAGTAACCAACAAAAAGGATAAAATTGAAGAGATGAGTCGGATTACTAAAGCGTTGGAAGATAATGAATATCCCATGGAGTTCATTGAAAAAATCGGAATATCAACCCACTAACGCCGAAAAACGATTGTTTGTCAACTGCCGTGGTTACACGTCTGAAGACATACGACGGATACTTAACCGTGTCAACATGAGGGTTTTGTTCAAAAACACTAAAACAATCTACTAAAAACTAGTTAACTTCAAAGACCCGCGTACGAAAAGGGGAAACTTCTGACTTAGTCTATAGAATACATTGCCTAGAATGTTCTGTTACGCATGTCGGCCAAACGTCCAGAAGCCTAGACAAACGAATGACTGAACACATGCGTCTAACCGAAAAGATTCCAAATGATGCAGCAGGTTGGAATCGAGTGAAACACAATTCTGCAATCGCTGGTCACACAATGTGCGAAGGATATGCATCTGATTTCAAAAACCCACGTATTCTAAAATGTGGGTTCAGAAGTCATAGGGAACGTTTGGTAGCCGAAGCGCTCCTGATCAACGTTGAATCTACGATAATCAATCGATCCTATGGGGCAGTCATTCCACAGTTATGGCAACAATTGACACTGGTGCATACAACATAGTTTCATCCCAACCTCCAATGCTAAATGACCAATTCGCACGTTTTGACCTAAAGGTCAAACCAATTTCCCTCACCCCAACCACCTGTCGAACGATAACCAACAAACACACGTATTTTAGAATCACATCCGAGCTCTACACGATGCCATCATCCGATCGCCCTATAATTGCTTGTAACGTGAGATTAACCGATTTGAGAAAAGCCTTCCAAGAGGGTCGAAACGTTGTCGCCAACGCATTCAGTCTATTGGTTTCGGTTTACAGAATGCAAACTAATTTTCTGAAAATATTCTCTCATCGGGGGCTACATGCATAATCGTCAATCCGAATGCAACCGACGAAATGATTGCTTTTCTAAATTAGACTACAGTAGGACACGGAGGTCACTGTAAAAACGGTAATTATCACAACTGAGGATGAGAAATTTATGGAAAAAGCAGATGATGATGTAAGTACACATGGGTGTATCCATTTGTACCATTTTTAAACCAAGTGAAAGTTATCACGGGAAACGCCCAAAAGTGAACAGCATACTACCGAGAAAGCGAGCACTTATACAATTACCATCGACAGATTTTGGGAGGGGCTAAATCGCAACTCAGGAAAGATGTTTTTATTTAAACTGCATCACTCGGTTATTCAAATGGTTCACAAACTTACTTGAAAAATGTATTTCCCTTTTCTCGGTAGCTTGAAGCCGTTTGTACACTTTTAACAATCACATCACCACTAGCTAAATCTTCCACAAACATTGGCAGTCGCCGAATCCCGTCTGTCGCATGCCTTTCAATGTACTGGAGCACTGCGTGATAAAAGGCCGCTGCCTTACTGGACGAGCAAGCAACACTGATCACCTGGGTGATTTGAGGACTATCTATTTCCACTGGAGGGCTCTTGGAGAGCAAATTATTCCACATGTGTCTGTGATTGCCGGAGATATTCTGGAGCTCCGTATTCATTAGTCGAGTCCACAGTAAACTGACTGTATTATTATCCGTACTAGCCATTGCAGCTAAAATAGAAGGGGACTACAATCAACATTCATGCTTTCGGAAACGAGCAAGCCTTACTTGCCAGCGTCAGAAAGAGATCCCTAGCGGAAAAAATACATATATATATATATATATTGTAATGAATAAATTGTAGTGTCAATGCAGGACGCACAAGAAACAAGAACGATGAAGGGCCAAACTTCAGGCTTTATTCAACATACAGCGTACTTATGGAGGCTGAAAAGGGGGGGAGGAGATGAGTTAGAAAATCGATATCGAAGGTGTTATATGATTTTTCCGGCTAGCAGTTGAAGACTCGGTTTAAAACGAATAAATATGTGATGAATGTTGCGTTTGCAAAAATAAAGGCATTTAAAATGTACACTAATCCTCAACATTTCGTAAACAATATGGTCGAGCACGTTTTTGCTGTCGTATGAGTGTACATAAATTATCGAGGAGACCGGACGTATCGGTAGTGTGATGTTGTGTGAGTGTTTCACCAGATGTGTCAGCAATGTCAGTTTCGGATATGTTCACCAGAGGCGTTTCATTGGTGTTTACTTTAAAGTTTGGAGCTGCCAAATTGTGAACTTGAATGTTCGTGGTCTCTACGCCTTTCGGTGCCCACTGTCGAATGGGCACAGTATCCTCTCTGCCGTTTCGGAATCGAACGTGTGTATAAAATGGATAACATTGCAGAAGTTCGACTACTTCTATAAGAGAATCGTGTTTGGAAGCCCTAAAATTCTTTTTTCAAAAGGACATCACCAGGAGTCATGATCCAAGTAGGCAGGGATGCACCGAAATTTGAACGTCTGTTATAGCGCAGAAATAGTTCATGTGGTGGTTCTTTTGTCGCCGAGCACACCAACAAACGCATCCATTGGAGTGAGTCGAATAAAACTTGTTCAAAGCTGTCCACCGGTTGCTTCTGGGAGCGCAGGCCGAGAAAAATGGTTTTTCATAAAGCCCGTTTCGTCGTTCAACTTGGCCGCCTCCACGAGGATTGTATGGAGTAGTTCTGCGCATATCTCCGGGTGAAAGCCTTGTTCAAATCCATTTCAGTTTTAGCAACCATTAGCCATGCACTTTCGTGCACCGGTCTTGGTTGCTGTCTTTAGCTTGCCCATTTGAATAAAAAAAAGCACAATGAAGATTGGAATATTCAGAGCAAATTCAAGAGACAGATGTCGAATTCATTTAGACTGATGTTAGAAGAATAATGGGTAGCTGCATGAGCGCCACTGTTTCCAACACCCAGCCATATCGCTCAGT